GGCTAGCGCTCTACCACTTGAGCCACAGCGCCACTTCCAGCTTTTTTCTTTTTGCTTATGTGGTGCTGAGGAATTGAACCCAGGGCCTCAGGCATTCAAGGCAAGCGGTCTACCACTGAGCCACCTTCCCAACCCCTAGACCCACTTTTTAGACCCTAAGAAAAGGAAGATGTTCATATAAATATCTTCAAAGTATTTGGGGCTTTGTGGTGAATAGTATGATCAGATTTCTGGCAGCTGTTTGTCACAAGTCCTAGATTAAGTTTAGGGTCCTATTAAGCAGTGCTGGGGAGCTTAAATGTCATCAACTGTAAAATTGTGAGGCCAAGATGACAAGATAATATATGAAAACTCTGAATAATATTTAAGATTATACCAGAGGGATAACTTTTCAAATCCAAGTAGTAGAAAATCTTAGTTGGACCAAGAAATCTGGTGCCTAAAAGTTACATTTTGATACAGGGACAGAAAGGGACCAGGGGCATAAAGGGAGAACCTAGCTAAGGGCACAGCTGGCAAGCCATGTATGGGTGACACCCAGGGCCAGGAACATTCACATACTCTCCCATAATCAAACTTCATGTACAGAGATGCTGCTTATCCTAACCAATATTTGCCCCAGTATAAAGATATAAAAGTTACACAAACTCATGGAGCAAACCTAGGCTTCAAAGCCATGTCTGCCTTGCTTTGACCATCCAATTATCCATTAATTTGCTGACTTTTTCAACTTTTTAAGGAAGTTAAGACTCTTTTCAAATGGAAGTTTCTGCTGAAGATGCCTATATAAAATAGAAGAAAAGCTACTCTTTATGGAAGCAGGTGTCCTGTCCTTGCCCTCGCCTGGCCAACTACCTCTGGGCCTAGCCCACCTAGAGCACTGCCTATCTTCTTGCTAACTTAGCCTCTGAGGAACCTACCATTGAAAACCCCAGCCTTGTTTCTGATAGAGTTTGTGCCCTACATGGTCGCATCTGTGTAAATTTCTGATTCTTTGTGTGTTTGGGGAAATAGAGGAAAGAGGACTTCATGTCCTCAGATGCTGGTCCTTGTGCTGCCCTAAATTCTGGCACTATTTCTAGATTTATGCCTTACAATTAGTATGATCTATGTTTGAAGCTTTGTGGTGAAGATAAAAACAGTAAGTAGTTTCCAGACCTCTTTATAGTATTGTCTTATTAGGGAGCTTTTCAAGAGGGCTTGGTGACCGATAAAATCTGTGCCCAGGGTGGTCCCATCACAGGAAAGGCAGGTGGCAGATCCCCCATAATGAACTGTAAAGCTTGGCTTGATTTCCAAAGTGCTACTAGTACTATTGCTGTTTCCAGTGATGTCTTAGAAACTAGTGATACTCTGACCCCTTAAAACTGATGGGCAAAGAGGTACGTTTGTTGCTGGTGATGGTTATGGGGCTTGAACTCAGAGCCTAGGTGCTGTCCCTGAGCTTAAGACCAGCACTCTACCACTTTGAGCCACAATGCCACTTCCAGTTCTCTGGTGGTTAATTGGAGATGAGTCTCACAGACTTTCCTGCCTGGGCTAGCTTTGAATTGTGATGCTCAGATCTCAGCCTCCTGAGTAGCTAGGATTATAAGTGTGAGCCATTGGTGCCCAGTGTAGAGGTACTTTTCTGTGTGAGGTACTTACTAATCCTTTGCCTTGCTCTGTCAGTGAACAAGACTGACAGCTCCCCTTTCCTGATGTTCTTTCTTGCCTTTCCACAGTCTCATGGGATAAATCCTCTTGAGGACAGCAGTTAGTCTCCCTAACTCTACCAGTATGCATGTTCCCAGACATGCACAGATGCATATGCTTCAAGGAGGAACAAGTCTTAACTTCACAACTGTAGACTTCCAGCATTTCAGGACTTAGGCCTGTGGTTACCTAATATATAAGACTTACCTTCTTGCCTCCTGGAGAGGAGGCATCAGGGGGAGGCGTGCTTGTGATGTTCAGTGGGCTGGAGCCACAGCTAGAAGGTGATGACCCCCTTATCCTGTCAGAGAAGAGAAGGGCGGTTACACTGCATTTTCTTTTTTCAGAGATAGGAGTTTTGTTAAGGGGTAAGGATGAGAAAGAGGATGAAGAGCTAGACAAATTTTTCCTATAAGGGCTAGATAGTTAAACATTCTGTGGGTCATATGATCTCTGTCTCACTACTACATGGACAGTGCAGAAAAATGAACGGGTATAGATGTGTTCCAATGAAATTACTTACATTAACAGGTGACAGTTGGTCTAAGCACCAACTAGCAAGAGCAACACCTTGGTTCAAACCCCAGTGTAGCCAAATAAATAACAAAACAGCAACAACAAAAAACCCAAGTGATTAGTGAGATTTGTTCTTTAGGCACCTGTTCTGGAATACAGGCCCTAATATAGATATCTCTAACAAAAAAAAAAAACCCTTGGGTTAGGTTTGGATTCAGGCTGATGAGTTTTCAGTGGCCAATTTTATTTCTACCACCATCCTATGAATTGACGTTTATAGCAAATGATTTATCCTCTCTGCTACATCGTGAAATGAGGGTATTTTCTTAGGAAATGGAAGGTGCCAGGGGAGCTTGCCTGCACCTAAAATAGCAGCCCAGGAAAAGTAGCAGCCTTCCAGAGAAAGCAGTGGTACAAAATGGACCTGGGCCTGTCTTACAATGTCTTATTGTAGGTTTATAGTAATAAAGAATTGGAACTGTAAATCTACATGAACTTTGCCAGACTGGTGACCTCATGGAAGGAAGTGAAGTTAGAGTGTAGAGGTATGGCTGCAGCTGTGCTACCAGCATATCTCCATTGTGTATGCAGCTTTTGGGTCACTTAGGGACCACTTTCTAATACCCACAAAATCTGCTGCCTATTTCTCTAGATTCTTGAGTGAACATGTTTTTTTAGTTTTGTTTTCTCTCCTGGACTAGGATATACTCTTCATACACAGAGATGACTACTAATTGACCGTTGTTAAAAAGTTGCTGTCACCCACTTTTCCTACTAAAGACTATGAAACCACTATTATCCCTAGATTGCCAATCTTGGTATTTCACTCTCAGCATCTAGTAGAGCATCATCACTGGGTTATCAGAATTCCTTCCTTCATCTCTCCCTATTCTAGTGCAACTTCCACAACACTTTACACACTTTGGACATCATCTCAGCATCCCACAATGAAATGAGGTCTTACAAGTTTCTTCCAATCCAAACTTCTAGCATTATTCCTTAGGATTCTTCACAGCCTCCCATCAGTTTGATTTGTGGCTGTCTTCTGCACAAAGGCTACCCATTTAGATTTCCTGCTTCCTGGCTGATATGATCACTCAAGAATACCTGGTTTTATGGAGGGAATATCCACTCACCCTCATTCCAAATCTTGGCTAAGACCAGGTTCAACCTTTGTTTGCTGTAGACCTTAATTCTCTGCTTTTTCTATTACTATAAACAAAACCTATGATAAATTACCATAGAAATAAAAGATTTCTCAAATATTTTAAGATTTCTGAGGTCCTTTTGAAATATTTTTGAGGTTGTTTTTGTTTCCTGGGGCTTGAGCTCTAGGCTTGACCTGAGCACCTTTTATCCCAAGGTTAGCACTCTACCACTTGAACCACAGTTCTGCTTCTGGCTTTTTCTATGACTAATTGGAGATGAGTCTCATGGGACTTTACTGCCTGAGCTGGCTTTGAACTGCAATCATTCAATGTTAGCCTCCTCAGTAGCTAGGATTACAGCCATGATCTATTGGTGCCTGGTTAGACTTTGAGATTCTTAAGGACAAGATTCTTGATGTTTGATACTGCTTTGGGATGCTTTCACAAAAAGCTCGGGGATGTGGCAACTTGTCTGAACCTGATTCTACTGCTTTTTCTATGATTATGAACCATTAAGTTTTTATCATTAGTATCTGGTTACTACTCTCGAGTCCCCAAATTTAGAATGACTTCCTTCTCAGTAATAGTTTTTAAAGACTTGGATTTAACTTAACAATTTTAGAGAATTTACCGTATATAAAGCTGTGTTCCAGGGACTTTCCTGAGTTCCCTCACAACCCTAGGTTGTGAGTCACTAGGAGGTAGATAATATCTCCTTTTTATGTTTTAATTCAACAAAGACCAAGAAATTAAGCAAGGCCAGGTACAGAGAACAGTAAGTACAGACCTCAATCTCCTATGGACTGCTTCCAAGCTCCTCTCTCATATGGAAAAGGAGGCTCCTCCAAGAGAGCTGTCTCCTTTACTGTCTGTTCTTCTAGATCTCTATTACTAACCCTTAGTAGCTTCAAGAACATACAAATGTTAAGGCCCAGAGTAACCTGGGTTGTAACATTCATTACTTGTATAGTGAATTATACATCCATCCTCACTAAGAAGGTCCTTGGATCATTATACAAAGTATTAGGAATTGAGCTTCCCCAAGAGTCCCCCTAGCTCTGGCCTATTTTGGTTTAGCTTCTTTATTTAAGGGAAGATTTCTAAATCTCAGCACTATTGATATGTTAGACTGATTAATTCATTCACTGTCATTCAGCTAGGGGATTGTTTTGTGTACTGTAAGATGTTTAGGTCTTGAGTCCTTGGATGATTAGCAGCAGCCTCCTGCCCAACTGTGACAACAAAAATGTCTCCTGACATCACCAAACATTCTCCAGGGTGAAGTGAGGAGGGAAAACTATCCTGGTTGAAAACCATGTTCAGGGGAGCAACCAGAAGGTGTTACTTGCCTGTGGATTTCCATGATTTCCTCAGCAATCATTCGACCTATTTTTCCTGCTCCAGCTCTGGTTCCCCCTGGAATTCCTGGAACAGTGGGATGGGTTCTTTTCGGGCCACCTACAACAGAGGAACCTGAGCATGAGAAAGTGGAAAACTGAAGAAGAAATGCTAGTATGTGTTAGATGAAGATCCTATGATCCACTTGAAGTTTAATACCAAGATTATGTCTTGTCAGGAAAAGGCATTCTAGCATGGAAGGCTGAATGTTCTGGGATCAGAGGCCAAAGTGTTGGCATGGAGCACTTAATGCCCTTCATGCATTCAGAAATTATTTTACTAAATGGCACTTTCTGTGTGAAGTTGCAGAGATAAGACAGTGTCCCTTCCCTTGAAAGAGCTCACAGTCTAATGGGGCTAGAGCTAAGTTGGATACGTTTAGCAGGTAAGCACATTCAGGACCAGCCACAGCTTTTGGGAGTGGTCAGCTCTTAGTTGAATTTTGGCAGAAAGGTAAGGAGGGGAATGTATTCCAGGCATAGAAACCAACATGCGAGAGCACTAAGGCGCAGGATGGAACTTCAGACTGCTCCAGGTATTTGTGGAGGATGGTGAGGGCATGAGACATGGAAGTGGTAGGGCAAATACCAGACGTCTCAAGGGTTCTGGATGTTCCATTAATAGACCTGGACAGCATCCGCAGGGGATGAGGGCCAAAGGATTTTATACAGAAGCACTGATTGAGATTTAGATTATTAAAAAGTCCACCACATGGAGAATGAACTAGTTCTGTTGTATTGCTAAGTGACAGGGTGCATTCTTACAAGTGTATCATTAAACAATTTTATTTACTGTATAACAAACTCAAACACAGTAAAGGCTATTACACAGCTAGGCTGTAGGGTTATATAGCCTATTGTTACTATGCAAGTGAGCATGTTATTGTGCTGAATACTGCAGCCAAAAGTAACACAGTAGTGGTATAGCTAAACACATACAAACAGGGTGTGAGTAATGTGTTATCCTAGGCCACCACACCACTAGGGTGATAGAACCTTTTCTGACACATTATAATCTTAGGGATTCACTCACATACATGTGGTCTTATATTAACCAAAATGTTGCAACATTGGTATGGTTGTATAGAGGAGGATGAGATAGGATGAGAACAAGTAGTATTATGAAGTGACTGGCAATAATGCAGGCAGATGAGGAAGGCCAAGTGGTGATGTGGAGCTGGGTGAGTTTAAGAAACTGAAGGGTTAGAACTTTGTATTTAGGCATCATGGAGGAGGGGCAGGAGCAAACACTTCTTGCTTGGATAACTAGATGGAAAGGTACAGAGAATCAGTTGGGGATATTCTGAATTTCAGATCCCCATGCTCTACTCTAGGTAGTTCTGTCCAGGAGGCCTTTGGAGAGACAACTGGAGCCCAGCAGAGGTTGGTGCTAGTGCTTTGGGTGTGGGAGGCACTAGTAGAGAGCAGGGACTGAAGCCATGCAAGTTAAAGTGGTCCTAGGCAGGACAAGTGTCGAGTGGAAAGCAGGGGCCAAAGTTGAGCCCTGGGGGAGGATTCCTTTGGGCATAGCATACTCCCCAGCATACAACCACAGAAGCCAGGGTCCATCTTGGAAGAGCACCTCCCATCACAGTCACAGGGCAACAGAGTAGGAAAACACAAGAGGAGTGCAGAGTTTACTATTTCACAGCTCCAGAAAGTACAACGATGAGTCCCCAGTATTCTAGACTCCACTGAGAGAGTGACCACAGCATTCTTCATACTCAGAGAAGTCAGCATATCATTCCCTCGGGGCCTCCCTGCTCCATAGAGTGTGACAACAGGGGGTCCTGAGAACTTGGAGGTAGAGTGTCTGGCCACAAGCAGCTTTGCATGGGCAAGCCCCGATGCCGCAGCAGGACATAGTTACCTTCTCCAGAGGGCAGCATGCTGTCCATGCTGTGGGGGGACGCTGTGAGCTGCGGGAAGGTTGGGTCCCTGCCTTCCAGGACGTTGGCTCTGTGAACATCCCAGCAATAAGGAAATGTGAGTCAGGCCTGCTCAGAACTGTGAACCTTGCACCTTGGCCAAGGTGTCCGGTGTCCACTCTGGATCTGGACAGGCCAGAAAATGAAGTTTCTGCTTGAGTGGTTGAACGGGTCTTCTTGCTGTTTGAGGATGGACAGTATCCTGACCTTTGACCTCACTGCCTGTCAGGAGCTTCCTGATTGGTGTGGGACACAGTCCAGTGGAAGTGGTGGCTACAACAGCCCACTGCCACTGCTGTTCCTGCCAGCCTGCAGCAACCCAGCCCCAGTTCCTCCCTCAGCTTTAACCACTGGTGGAATGGATCATGGAGCAGGAGTTGTGGGGAGCACAAAGAGGAGGCTTTTTATCTATTCACCTAGCAGCGTTTGAGGGGGCATCCTAGCTGCTAGTGCCTGGGCCATCAGCCTAGTAGACATGGAGACCTGTCCATCCCCTGCCAAGAATAGTATGAGCTAGAACCTATGTGAGCTTTTCATGGTTTAGTCAGCCCCATTTCCATAACAGCACAAATGGATAACCAGTGTGCAGGGCCTCTGGCATCCCAATTTTGGCTGCTTTATGTGTGGGCAAATTCCCTGCCCCCCACTGTTTCCAAGAACAATTTTCCTCAAGCCAGTTTACATGGTATGAGTTTTGAAACTTGTATTTTGTTAACAGCTCCCTGCCTCCTGCCCATCCTAAAGATTCGCAAGACATTAGCCAGGTGGCATTAAAAGATAAGATACTAGCTATTGCCTAGCTCCTTTACCCAGTAAGGATCCCAAAGCATCTCCCACTAAAATAAGGGAATTTCTGACATGATATACTTACAAAACAACAGTGTTGGTTGAGACAATATATTCTACTTCCTTGGTCCAAGGGTTCATGAAACTGAACCATCGACTCCGTAGTGTGATAAAAGAACCATCTTTGATTTTAAACTTGTAGCAATTAGTGGTAATTTTTTCTCTTGTCTGTAAAACTGAAAATGCAAAGAAACCATGAACACTGTCATTTCCTGAAATCAGAATATTAAAAGATATCCAACACCAAATACTAGTGGTGCTCAGGCTCCAATACCATCATTCTTTAATAAGCCAAGGAAGCCAGCAGTCAAAACTCAGAGAATAGGTTGGGTTTTTTTGTTTTTTGCTGCTTTTTTTTTTGTTGTTGTTGTTGTTTTTTGTCAGTCATGGGGCTTGAACTCTAGGCCTAGGCACTGTCCCTCACCTCTTTAGCTCAAGGTAAGCACTCTACCACTTGAAAGCTACAGCACCACTTCCAGCTTTCTGGTGGTTAATTGGAGATATGAATCTCACACACTTTGGCCCAGGATGGCTTTCAACTGCGATCCTCAGATCTCAGCCTCCTGAGTGAGGATTACAGGCATGAGCCACCAGGGCCTAGCTAGGGTCTAACTCAGAGCCTTTCAGTTTGTGTGTCATGTCACTCATTTTCAGTGTCTATGAAAATTAAGGCTTTGGAGAATGCAAGGATCACCTCTGACATGAACCCTGACAAATAAAAGGGCATTGTCAAAGGACTGCTCTTTCCAATCAAAAGTCTGAAGGTAGTATCGTACTTCATCTTAGGAAATTTGAACCACTGACCTATTCAAAGCTCATTCTCTTTTGTAATAAACATATCATAAGTACATTTCATATGCCAGGCCATGACTCCTGCCCTCAAGAAAGGAATAAGCTAAGGCTACTTGGAGTCAAGAAAGGGACACACACTGGCCAAGAGGAGGAGAAAGGAAAGAAGCCAGCATTGCCTGAAGAATGGCAGAGCCTAGTGGGTCAGAGCTGGACAAGAGGGTCAGGATAGCTAGAGCATACTGGAGAGCGAGATGGGAGGTCTTAATTTGATGCTGATCATAGGTAGTTGGGCTTAAGTCTAAAAGCATGAGAGTTTTAAGTGGGAAATGTGACCACAGATTTGGTCTGAGGAGAAATGGAATAACCATGGAAGATAGTTAGGGGTGAGTGATCAGGGAGACTCATTAGGGTTGTAGGTCTCCGGGTGGGCACAAAGCTTAAACTATAGTTGAAGGGAGTAGGTGTGATAAAAGGTGGACTTTAGAAATACACTCTGAGATGAGTGAACAGGATCTGGCAAAGACAGTGAAAGACAGGATTTGGGGGCTACAAACTAGTTAAGTAGGAAAATACAGGAGGCAGTGCAGGAAAAGTGCAGGCCATACAAAAATCTGGGCAAACCCTAAGCAAGAGAGGCCTCCTGGAAAGAGCTGTGGCCTGAGTGGAGTGAACTGCTGTGCATGCTTCTGTGGAGGTAGGTGGTGCCTGGCCACTGGTCTTTCCTCACACATGTTCCCTGCATACTGCAAGGGGCAGGTTTCTCTGGAAGGTCATGTAGATGAATCTAGAAATGGGGGAACACTTGGAACTGAAACTTTTCCCGTAGCCTGGCTCACCTTGCCTATGACATTCTGCAAGATGTCCTATGTCATCTTGATGAAAATATTCATAACAGGATGTGCCTAGAAGTTCTTGTGGTAGATACGCCAAAATAGCTGTCGCCCTAAAAGAGAATAGGGTATTAAAAAAATAAAAAGAAAAGCCATTCAAACAATTAACAGCAATGTGGCAGTGGCTAATTGCTGCTCCAGCCTGTAAGAGCAAGGTGGGTTTTCAGAGGGCTTTCATGTCGCTATGGGTTTTTTTTAATTAATTGAGCAGAGGCTATAAAACCAAGGAAACAAAGCAAAGACGCCTTTTCATTAGAAATCAAATTTTAAGAGTTTTTTTTTTAAAAAAAACAGATAAAAATGTAGTAGAGAGCTAAATTCCAGAGCAAAGCTGCTCCTTACTATCTCTTTATCATAAATTCCAGGAGCTCTAGCATCTGGTCCACAGGGCCTTGAAAAGTAGCCATCTCCTAGCATTTTGTGGCTGTTTCTATTGTCAGAAATGTTATTCACTGGCTATCTCCAGAAGCCTGTGAATATTCTTAAGGAAGCAGAAACAGCAACAAATTGGAGACATCTGGATTTTCAGCTAGCTGTCATTCCAACAGGCCTCTGTTTGGCATCCATAAAATGAGGCTGCATCAGATCACTGTCCATTGTCCTCGAGAACTTTCTGCAATGATAGACATAGCCTGTGTACCCACCAGGGAGCCCAAGGAACCGAATATTTCATTTTATTAACTTCAAATTTAATCAATCATGTTGAGACTTCCATGGCCAGCAACCACTTTTGTTAGACAACTCATGATTAAAAAGTTGTTTCTCATTCAAAGTAATGGTTCTAGAACATTTCACAGATTTAAATAATATGTTTACCCTTTCAGCCATTGGACTTCAAACCACCCCCATATAACTGTCTCTCTGTACCAAGGAATGACACCGAGGAAAACTATTTACGATGACATGCTATGGAGTGTCATTTTAGCATCGATCCTCACTCCCTTCCCCTCTTTATGCAGAAGCTGTTGCTCTGCGGTAGGGGTGGAGTATCTGCAAGGGGATAAATGAGGTCAGGGGCCATCAAGTCTTTTATTTAAAAAAATTATTCTTTTTTTTCTTAGAAAAGCCAGCTGATAGCTTTTCAACCCAGAGTTGCAAATTCTCTCCAATCATTGCTCAAGGACCACACTCTTACCTTTGGTCTACAAAAACAAACTTCCCATCTATTGCGTGCCGAGATACATATTCCATAGACTTCACCCTGATTTCCCCATTCACCGGCTGTGGAACCACATGAGAATGTAGTCTTCCAATTGCTACAAGACAGCTGAGGTTACATCCCTCATTGTCTGGCTCATTGTCTTCATCAAGGCCCATCTTTGTGGGTGGCCAGCTTTTCAAATAGCCTGTGCTATGAATGGTGCAGAAGCTTTTTCGATCCGCTAGAAAGCAAAGTTTATGATAAGGGTCAGTGCTGGGTTTGGATCCTGGAGGCAAAGGCAGATGATAGTGTGTAGGTAGGGAGGTGTAGGTAGTGAGTCAAAAGATTTTAAAAACAAAGCCTCAGTGTCCACAAGGGGACCATCAAAACCATGTTAACTAGTGCCACGTAAGCTTGTTAGAGCCATTGACATTACATACAATATACCAATGAAGGAATAAATCTACTTGGAGAGAAGAAGGCCCCACCCCTGAAAACCTCTGCAGGAGGATAGCCAAGAAGGACAGGCAGTGGTTAAGGCTCTAAGGTGAGTAAAGGGTAAGAATGTTCAAAGGTAGAGATACAGCCTATTCAAGAAACAGTGAAGCTCCTTGGGACTGAAGTGAAATGGAAGGTTCTAATCACTAGAAATCTAGTGAGTAAAGCTGTAAAAGCAGGATAAGAAGGTCATACAGCCCTTGGTTTATTTCCTAGCAAATTTGTTAGGTTCTTGTTAGACATGAAATGAGTTTCAGATGGTGTTTCAAGCAGGGAAACAGCACAATCATGTCAGGGGTTGAATGCTCTAGAATCAGTATGGGGGGAGTGGAAGAAGGAAGAATTGGTTCAGAGGCCAGTGGCAAGAACACAGCAAGAGGAGATGAGGACTGGATAATCACAGGGCCTGTGGGGAAAGCAAGGGAAATTTCTGAGATAGAACTATTGGGATTTGGTATGAAATATGAAGCTTAAGGGAAAGAAAATTAGTTCTCATTTTCCTGGACTGTGAGGGTGCTGGTGTCATTCATGCTGAAGAGGGAAACAACCAATCAAGAGAAAGAGACTGATTTGGATGAGCACCTGTGGTCTCCCATCATGGAGCATTTACTAAGTACGGAGCTGGTGACTGGAATGCAGTGTAACACAAATCAGACATGGACAAATACATGAATAATTCTGGAACTGCAACCAGAAGAAAGCACTAGAAAGAAAACCTGCTGGGTGCCATGAGAAGAAACAAATAAGGAGAGGAAGGAAGCAGCAAGGAGAAGTTGTTTCACTCACAGGTGACAGCATGTGCAGAAGCCTTGCCTAAAAGGAGGCAGGAGGCACAGGAAAGAAACATCGTGCAAATGCACTGAGTATGGCAAGGATGTGACCATATTAAGTATTTTGAACTTTTATTCAAGAGCAATAAAGAATTTTAAGCAGGGAATCAATGAAAAGTCTCCTTTAAAAAGATGATTGGGCCAAGCACCAGTGACTCATCCCTGTAATCCTAGCTACTCAGAAGATTATAGTCAAAGCCAGCTCAGGTAGGGAAAGTCCCTGAGACTTTTATCTCCAATTAAACATCAAAAAGCCATAAGTGAAGCTGAGGTGCTTTGAGTAGAAAAGCTCAGAGACAGTGTTCAGACCTTGAGTTCAAGCCCCAGGACTGGCATACACACACACACACACACACACACTCACACTCACACACACACACACACTCACAAAGATCACTGGGGAATCTGTGTAGAGGGCGGCAAGCATGTAAGAGCTGCAGATGGCCGGACTCTCAGTGTTAGTAGGAACAGTCACCACTACACACACTTGCAGCGAGGTCCACTGATGGGCTCATGACATGACTCTCCCATGAATGAGAGTGGGTGCTATGAGTCTCATACCTCCCAGGTCCTCAGCAAAGGAAAGGCTCAGGTAGCCACTTGGGCAGATAGGTTAGACAGAGAAGCTCTTGAGATAGCTAAGCAAGTAGATTTTCTAGGCAGTTAATTTATAAATTTGAAGTTCCAAAGAGAAACCAGGGCTGGAAATGTAAACTTGGAAGTTACTGGCATGTGCATGAGATTTAACATGATGTACTATGGAACAGTGCAGACAGAACAGAGGAGGCCAGAACAGAGAAAAGGAGACAGTCAAAGGAACTGGGAATAGGCTGAGTGGCAGAGGACACAGAAATGAAGTGGGAACCATGTGGCTTTGTGGAAAGTCAGGGAAGGGAGCACAGTGACAGGAGAACAGTGAATCCATCCATTGCACTTAGCAAAGTGAGTTCACTGGTGAAGTGGGCAGAGTAGTGGGGGCTCCTGGTGGCAGTCAGAATCATGGCTCAGGGTGTTCTTTCCCAGCCACATTAGGACAACAAACATACTTTACACAGAGGAAAACTAGTCACAAATCCTTGTCCCCCTGTTCTTCACAGCCCTCGTCTGTAGGGAGATGGCAGATCCCTGGCTTGCAGGTCTTCAAGCTGCCAGTCCTGCCAGCCAGAAGCACTAAAACTAAGCATGGTTGAGAGCCCCACTGCAGAAGGCAAGCCTCCCCTTCATGGGATGTGAAAAAAATGTTCAACTGTACCTTTTTTCTTTGAGCAGGTGGAGGGGAAGTCCTTGTCTTCAACCTTTACTGAAGGCCTGTTACACTTCATCCTACAGAAGAAAGAACGGCGAGCTCCAGAGCATAATCGAGATGGCCCAGGGGTTATATCTGTTTTAACTGGAAGTCCAGCTGCAAATCAACACACAAAATGTGGTGAACTGAGAGCAGTGTTGTCTGTCAGATGGGGCTCTGACCATGAGCAAAGCCTCTTCTTTATGGTCTTCCTGTTCTATACCCGTGATGCCTGTCCCTAGTTTAGAGCTCAGACGATACCCTTGATTGGTGCTTTATTAATATGGAGATATTTGTGGATTATGTAGAAAATGCTATTCAACAAATAATTTAGGTGTTCTGGGGATCAAAGTAAATGCACCACAGCAACAAGAACTTACCAGTGAGAAAGGGAGATGGAAGGGCACTGAAATAAGACCAGAGTGATGTATGATTAGGGCCAAGCAGATGGCAAAGACAGCCTGTGCTTTCTAGGGAAGAACTTCACTTAGTACCTGAAGGATGGGCAAAATTTGGATGTTGGAGTAGAAGGCAGAGATTGGGATTGCCTTGAATTCACAACCTTGCTGGAGGCCAGAATCCCTAAAGTACTTTATCAACACAGATTCTTGGACTCCATTTGAGATTTGTGCTGTCTAGCCACTAGCTACATGCAGCAACCAAGCACACGGGATATGGGTTTTCTGAAATAAGATGGTTCTAAGTATGATATCACACAGGCACTGCTGGCTCATGCCTATAGATCTCAGGAGGCTGAAATCTTAAAGGATCATGGTTTGAATCCAGCCCAGGCAGGAAAGTCCATGAGACTCCCATCTCCAACTAACTAGTAAAAAGCTGGGCTGGAAATATGGCTCAAGTGGTAGAGTGCCAGCCATGAGCAAGAAAGTTGTGCAAAAATGTGAAGTCTAAGTTCAAACTTTGGTACTGAGGGAGGACAAAAGAAAAACAGGAATGAATGAAGTTGCACAGAATTTCAAAGATATCACTAAAATAAAGACCTTTAAATTTTTATTAAATATCAACTAATAGTTTAGCTTTAAGTCAAATAAAAATATATTATTAATGTTGCATTTATTGTTACTTTTTAAAAACATGGCTACCAGGAATGTAAATTTATACATGTGGCTTATGTTTGCAGTTTACATTTTTGTGTGTCATTCTGGGACTCAAACTACACAAAGGCCTCATGTATGCTAGGCTAGCTAGAGCTCTATCCACCAGTCTCATTTGCATTTTATTTCTTTTATCTTTCTTTCTTTTTTTTTTTTTGCCAGTCCTGGGGCTTGAACTCAGGGCCTGGGCACTGTCCCTGAGCCTCTCTGTACTCAAGGCTGGTGTGGCTGCAACCACCTGGGGCCAGGACCATACAGGTCATAACAGGTGTAGTCATGCTGGCAATGGCTGCATCCTATGGTCCTTCATGGTACCTCCCACACACCTGCTTCTCATTTCACCACCTCTGTTAATAACTTCCCAAGAATGCCAATCAGAACCTGCCCACCCAGCTCAAAGCCCTTCACTGGATGCCCCTACCCTGCATACTTTGCTCCAAATGCACCAAGTAGGCCACGAGGCTCCACAAATCCTTTCCTCTGCTTTTTTTCCTCCCTTCACTACCTGACAAACGTTAATTCATCTTTTCAAACCCACCTCTGCTGTCACTGACTGTGAAGCCTGTCCCCGCGCCCACGTGAGAATTACTCATCCCTCTCCATGCCCGGTGCTATTTTCAAGGCTGCACCTCAGAAGCAGCTATCTGGGTGCTATCTGGGTCCCTGTCTCCTAACCTCTTCAAAGGCAAGGACCAAACACCATTCATTCTCTTCTCCTTGGGCCACTAGAAAGATGCAATCGGCACCAGGGCCTACATCTGATTTTAGGAAGACGCAGAGCTCATTAGTGAAAAGGATGCTTTCGAGCACTGTTCTCGGATGGTATTCCTTCAGGGACTGAGAACTTAGAAGCAAGAAACTGGTTAGGCCATGACTGGCCTAGCCCAAGATTACTATAACACTGAAACACTGCTAGGTACAGAGAACTTCATGTAGTGTACTAAGATATTTAATCCTGGCAACAAGTCAAAGCAATGGGTGCCATTCTGCCTGTGAAAACTCTGAGGCACAGAAAGGTTTGCTTGACACCCCTCAAAAGTGAGTAATGGAGTCAGAATGTATGTGCCTACCAGTTGGGGGCATGAGAGAAGACAGCTTCCTGATGGCCTGGCACAGGAAGCACAGGACCATGTGTGGGAGTAGGGGTGAGGGGGTGAGAATGTGTGTGGTGATTCCACTGCTGTGGAAAGGAAGCCAAGACGGGACCAAGCTAAACGAGGAGGAGCTAAACAGCCATTTTGGCCAAGCTTAGGAGAAAGAGACACTTGGGCCAATCCCATTTATGTTTGAAATGTTCTTTCCTTTTTCTTCTGAGCTACATGGTTGCAACTCAAAGGGATATGATGCCTGTACAGTCAGGAGGAAGGTACAACTTGGGAAGTTCTTGCTTCTGGAAAATATTAAAAGACTAGAAATCAAAAAGAATCAAATCCAAGTGGTTCTTCCTTCCATTAAACTTGGACATTTGAGTATTCTTCTTCTTTATGTAGACTACAATGAAAACAAGCCCAAAGGGACATAGATAATTCCATATGGCCACAGACAGCAGCTGTGGGAAGAGGGAAGCTGAGGCCAGGACGCACACCCTCTCTGTACGTGCTGGTGCCCCACGGACTGCTGAGGAAACACCAGCCTTCCCCTCCACTCACTTTTTGCATCTATGAGCCTCTCCCTTGGTGCGGTGTCGGAGGAAGAGAGCTGCTCCTTCACTTTGGCGATATCTTTAGGATGCAGGTAGTCAAACAGACTCTGGCCAATCAGATCATTCTGTGGGGATGAAATGTTAAAAATGACAAGTTACCTATAGGTGGAATACAAATTAGGCAACGAGTGCTCACAGGCTATGCATCTTTTGCCATTGTTTTGTATTTTTAGGCATGAGTATTTCAAATCCTTCCTATGTGAATCTGCACACGTGTCCTGGCTCTTTGCCTAGACAGATACAGTAAAGGAGGCTTCAGGAAGATTGTGATAACCAATGAGAGAGAAACAGTTCATGTACCTCTAGGGCAAGAATATTTTGGCTGGATGTATTCTTTTTAACTTACTTCTGCCTCTACAAGATCCCTGGTAAGGCCTAAGAAGGAGGAACGTAGGATGTGGGATGTTTCCAGCTCTGCCATTAAGCCTTTCTCTTCTTCATAGGTGTGTTTATGTGTTTATCTATTGTTTCAAGACAGAGTGTCATTTGATAGTCTAGTCTTATCTTAAACTTGATGTGCCATGGCCTCAGAACTTGTCATCTTCAACCTCTAGAGTTCTAGAATTGTAGGCATACATCAGCCTGCCCATCTAAGCCTCTCTTGAGTTATGATGCCTTAGTTCCTTTATCTATACATAAAGGTAAAACTTGCTCCACAGCCAAACACTTTGGTAAAACTAAATTTACATTCTAATTGATATAAGTATAATTTTAATTCAGTCCTTCTGCCTACCAGGCTTCCATGCAAATATTAGTATGTAAAAGAGAAAATGAATGAAAAATTCTGAGGGCATAATTGGGGAAAAGCCTAGTTCTAGAAACTTTGTTACTCTTATTTTATCATAAAAAGTATGGCTGATAATCAACATTTACAGGAAGCTGAGGCTCAGCAAAGCTTCATATCAATTTATCCTCTAGTGCTGAGTTACCATTCTCCTTCATCAGGTCGCCTCATTCTCCAACCATAGTCCATAGTTACGGGATACTTATTTTACATTAAAAAAAACTATAAAACTTTTTATAAGATTAGAGTTAGGGATGGGCACCAATAGATCATGCCTGTAATCCTAACTACTCAAGAAGCTGAGGCCTGAGAATTGAAGTTTGAAGCCAGCCTAGTCAGGAAAGTTCAGGAGACTCTTATCTCCAATTAGCCAACAAAAATCCAGATGTGAAAGTATGTCTCAAGAGGTAGAGTGACATCCTTGAGTAAAAAAAGCTAAGGAATAGCACCCAGGCCCTGAGTTCAAACACTGGTACTAGCACATGAGTGTGCCCATGTGTGCACACACACACATCACATCACACAAAAGATTAAAGTCAGATATTTCAGTCAGATATTTCACTGAGGAAATAAAGCATTAAAAGGTTTCTTTTCCTACATTTAAAAGTTCTCTGTTAAGAAATTAAAGACTTTGTAAAAGGATTTCATGTGTGCATTATATAATTGTCCTGAAACATGGAGTTATGACTGCCATTAGCTGCCCCCCAACCAATAGGAACTTGAACAATACCTGGCTATAGTTGAGGATCTTGAAGACGGACTCTGAGACAAAGAGTATCTTCCCTCGATCACATCCTACGACAAACAAAAATCCATCTGCTGCCTAATCAGGAGAAATGGACAATCAATTTATCATGCTTCAGGATAGATGATTTGTATAGCAGCAAATCAAAGATTTACAAGTCTCCAAAGCACAGGCACATTCCTGAATTTCACTGGTATCCTAAGAACAGGATGCTTAAAACAAATGCTTCCAGAGAATAAGATTCTCCCCATATAGATCTATATATCAAAGTCCAATTAAACTAAGTTTTAGTTTAAATTTGGCTTAAGAATTTTCTTTTGATTGTGAGATGATGCCTAGAAATCAATTCACTGCTCTAGTTCTAAGAACTCTGTGAAGAATAATAGAATCCTAGACTGGCAACATCCTGTAAAATCCATATCTCAGCCACCATCTGCCTATAATTTGAACAGCTTTACTTGTTTTGGATTTTGTGGTCCCAGGTTCAAGCTCAGGGCTTTGCACTTGCTAGGGAGGTACTCTACTACTTGAACTATGCCACCAGCCCTTGATCAGGTTTAAAGAGAGCTTGGCAGAATGTTTTCTGGAGTGGTGAGTGATGTTTTGTGTTCACTGTTTTGCTGGAAGGCATGAAAATGATCAGTAGGGTGACTTTAACCCTTATTCCAACATGATTCAGTGACAGATCAGGACCTACTGCTATCAACAGTGTTACTCCAGCCAGGGCTAGCCCATTTGCATTCAAGACAGTCAAGAAAAGAAAAGCCAAATTTTCCCATGAAATTCTTTTTTCACAAGTGAAAAATCTAAAGTGCCAACAAAGACAGGCATAGGAATAAGACATTTGTTAGAAAGAATGAAGGAGGCAGATGCCCAAGTTACAGTGCCTGAGAGCTCAGGCTGTTTTGACTACTCAGCTCCTGGTGAGAGCGTGGGTGAAACCTTCTTCTGATGGGGACAGCATGTCACATTCTAGCATGCACTTGCTCTAATGACCCCACTCCCCTGATTCTAATGCACAGCAGGTCCATCAGTATCTTGTTCATGAGTTTTCAAGCTGTTCTTTGGAAAAAAAAACTTAGACAAATTTTGTTTCCTTTTCCACACAAGGGCCTTGGGATGAAGTTTAATTCAAATAATAGATAAATGTATTCATGTACCAGAAGATTAAGAAAAAATTGTATGTGTACCCGGGCTGGAATAGAAGTGAGTGAGGGCAGACAGAATCACTAACTAGTACCATAAGAACCTAGCAGGCCAGCCAGCTAGAGAAAGGCTGAGGGATCTAGTCCTAAGTCAAGTCCCTAAGCTGTCCCAGGGCAAGAGATGACGACGGGGGTGGGGTGGACAATTTTCCAAGCACCATCTGCTGAAATCCTCATTCCGTCAAAAGAAAAAGTAGGATATTAATAACTTCCTCATTTGCCTTGCAGACAATCTTATCTAAGAGAAATGTTTTCAGGCTGTTCACTAATGTGGCTATGCAGTACCAACGATGCCTGGGAAGGTGACTGTGACATCTTACAGAAGATGCTGGGCAGAAGTAGATCTAAGACCAGGGCAAAGGCGGGGTGATTTCATCTCACCGCAAAGGTCATGGATGGATTCAGTCTGCATTGCCATTCTGCTGCACTCTGGCAAACAAGCCACCAGGTGAGGAGCTGGGGCTAAGGGGACAGCTGCGGAGCAAGAACACTACTAGCATAAGGCCCACAGGACAGCCTGGGAAGATGCTCTAGTAGGATTGAAATAGTCTTCACTGGTCCCTGATACTCCACTAGATATCTGGAATGCACTTAAGGCATGGATGAGAAGTGGAGGCCAGGGCCTGCACCTAACTGTCTAAAAGCTGTGAGTGCAGCCTGCCTTCTGTTCATGACATTGCTGGCAACTGAACACCTGGAACTTGGACAGTATTTTCCAGGCCCTGACATGTGTCAGAGAAGTGAGACAAGCTTTACCGAGGAAGACAAATCAGCAGGAGCTCTATCTGAAACAGAGGAGCAGAAAAGCCCATCCATGAAGTGTTTAACAGAAGTATTACAATCCTTGTTCCAGACCCAAATATATGTAGGTATATGATAGGAAATCATTTTAAAAGAACCCACAAGACAATTATTAAATGGGACATTGCAAAAGGAGTATGTATGTGGGTACATATGTATATATACATATATAGACATACACATATACATATATAACATATGCACATACATATATACATATAGCTCATGGCTGTATTCCTAGCTTCTCAGGAGGCTAAGATCTGAGGATCATGGTTTGAAGTCATAGGAAAGTCCTTGAGAATCTTATCTCCAATAAACTATCCTTGCAAAGCTGGAAATGGTGCTATGGCTCAAGTGGTAGATTGCTAGCCTTGAGCAAAAAGCAACATAGGAACAGTACTCAGGCCCTGAGTTCAAGCCCTAGGACCAGCACCAAAAAACAATCAAGATCAGCAGCATAATTTGTGGGTAAGGCATAAATGACATAAAATGAAAATGCAGGCCCCTTGTTCAAAAACTAAGGTTTTCAAGGGACAGGTTTGTGACACATGCTTGTAATGGCAGTTACTCAAGAGGAAGCAATTGGGAGAAATACCCTTTGAGGCCAGCCGAAACAAAAAGTTACCAAAACCCCATCACTTTAAAAAAAAAGAAAGAAAGAAAAAGATGGGCATGGTGGTTCACATCAGTAATACCAGCTACATAAGCGGTGTAAATAAGTGGACCGAGGTGTAGGTTGCTCATGCCCCACCCGCCCCCCATCGGAAAAACAAACCTGCAAGATCCCATCTAAAAATAATAATACTTGCCTAGCAAGTGCAAACCCTGGTACTGTAATAATAATAATAATAATGTTTTTCTGGATAGGACAGCAAAATTGGGAGCCCTGGATGACTGCACCTTGGCATGTTCATAAAGCCAGCCCTGGAGGCAGACGCTTACATTAACTTTATGAGTCCCCTGACAACGAGGATGGATGTACAGAAGGCCTGAAGTGGCAGGGCAGAGTAGGAAGTCTGGATAACCATGTCTGTGAGCAGTAACAGTGCCATGCATCCACTAAGTATGTAATAATGCTTGTGGATCTGGTGACTAAATAAGAACTGAAAGCACACAAGATGCCCATCAGACATGTAAATCACCTAGAGATTCAGAGGATTATGTGTAGCAAGCTGACAATGGAACCATCCAACAAGATGATTTTTCACAGAGTTCAAAAAGAAGTCCTACCTTAAGTTCAGAAACACACTTGCATCTGTAAATTATGTAAAAACCCTGACCTACCAATGTTTTGTGTACCAGAAAGCTGGGGAGGAGCAATACTACACCTGTCCCAAATATGGCACTAATAAAGTAGTTTCTAAGGTTCCATTCAACCTCAGAACACTTGACCACTGGTCAAGTGCTGAATTGGGTTGTGCAACTCATGGAGGACAACCTAGCAAATGGATGTGGTTTTGGAAACTGTGGTAAATACTTCTGAGGGGCCAGTTCTTATCCTCATTTCCTACTTCCTTTCTCTCTTGTCACCTCTACAGTGGAGGCTGGAAAATATGTATACTTGCTTCTTTATCCTGCCCAAGTGAGACCAGGTAGCATATTTCCCAATAAACTAAAAGGTGTTGGGCTTCCAGGAAGGAGTCTCTTTTCCTGATAAAAAGGAAAAATCCCCTGGGTAAAACCCTTAGTCTGTCTAATTACTCACACCTGGCCTAGTCATCTTGTTATGTGAAGGAAATCAGCAATCATTCAAGCTTGGCAAGGCTGTATGAGAAAGCAGAAAGAACCCGGCCCTGTAATGTCCATAGCCATCCTAGCGATCCCATCCAATCCTCCCTGAACCAGTTGTCCTTGAGAAGGGAAAGCCTATGGAGTCATCAGGTTTTCTGTTCCCTGAAGCTAAAGCCTTTCTACAACATATGGTGAGCAGATGGAGAGAATACTAGGGCAAGCAGACAGGCCAGGCTTACAGAGTGCCTGAAGCTAGGCTGAGCAAAAGGTGGACAGTGATGATGCTGAGGCCCAGCTGGACTACCTCTATCTGGAAGCATTGCAAACTTCTACAGAAAGGCCAGGACTTCCATGCTGTAGAAGCTAGGCAGGGAAGGTCAGGCCTAGCTGTGTGGGAGGAGGAGGCAAGTACTCTTCCTTCATGTTAGGTTTTTTTCTGTTTATAAAATACAAGATGTTCATGATATTATAGGTCTATAAAACCTCAGGAACTGTTCAATCTAGTTTGCTGCCCTTCAGTTTCTATTAATCTCCTTCTGTCCAGCAGCACACCTCAGAACCTTGTGCAGAGCTAATTCTGCCTCAGAGTCCTTCACAAGCTCTTAGGAGCCTGGTTGAGAGGTAATTCTCAATCATCTCTGTAGAAACTTAACAAGGCAAACAGAGCACTAACGTCAAGTAAGCAAAAGCATGCACATCTGCTATGCATTTTCCTCTTTGGCAATTCTGTGGTTTGGCTGGGTCTGGGTGTAAAGATTTAGGTACATTTTTTTGTGCCAGTGGTTAAAGTCAAGAGAAGCGAAAGTCTCAAACATTGTCATATTCAGAAGTTTCTAAATTCTTCATGTAGGAATATAATTCCTAACAAAGTCTTGCCTTTGGTAGCCTAAGATCAAGTAGCTTAGACCTTCCATTTTTGCCTAAATAGAATTAGCAGAGAGACAGGTGCCACTGGCTTGTGACTGTAATCCTAGCTACTCAGGAGGCTGAGATCTGAGGATCGTGGTTCAAAGTCAGTCCAGGCAGGAAAGTCCATGAGACTCTTATCTCCAAAAACTACTCAGAAAAAGCTGCGAATAGTGTCATGGCTCAAATGGTAGAGCACTAGCCTTGAGTACAAAGAAGCTCAAGGATAGTGCCCAGGCCCTGAGTTTGAGCAACAGGACCAGCCCCCAAAAAGACTTAGAAAAAAGGTGACAGGTTTTGGTGGAAGGAATGTTAAGTACCTGATAATTCTTACTCTGAAATGTATTTAAAAATCAGTGTTGTGGGCAGAGGGTGTGGCTCAAGTAGAAGTCCTGCTTAACAAGTGCAAAACCCTTCCATCAAACACTAGCACTGTGGGGGTGGGGGTGGGAGGGAAACATCTGTACTGGTAAAATAATGCCATAATTGCAACATACCCTGAGAATGAGGTGTTTCAGTTCATCATCTGACAGAAAAGTTGGTTTGTAGTTTGCTTCTGTATATGGATTGGTGGCACCTTGGGGGGCGGGGGGGGGGTGGAAGCAAAGAGAGAGTTGGAAGACTTTATATTCAGATATCACCTCATTCTACTTAGCTGTCTCTCATCTTCTAGATAAGGCCTAGACCCCACCACCCAGGGTTTCCTTTTTATCTTCTTTTCATTCACTAGGATAGAACTAGCTCTAGGTTCAGAATGCTGTCACTCCAAAGAGAATGCCACTGAAAAGAGAACACTGTTCCCCACAGGAGACTTAACAAGTTTGCCTTTCTTATAATAGAGAAAACCAAGAGATAATAGAAGTTTAAAAAAATCTGCTTCCAAGAGAAAAGGCAGATCTAGAGGCAAACTGGAGGAAGTTCCTGAACAGGTTTCTCCCTCCCAAGGTGTGCATGAAGTAGACTGTCAAGCAGTCCATCACAGCATTACTCTAAAAGGTCTTGGAAAACTATCTAGTTACCAGGTCCTGACTGATAGAGTGCAGAGGCACTGTACATGTGCTCCCCTTCAGCAAGGTGAGCTAATGAGCCTGGAAGCCTGGAGAAATGCATTATCCAGGCCACAAAGCTCACGTTCCCAGGACTGAAGGGGACAAGACTTGCGTTTAAAAGTATGGCAGCCGAGTGTGGGTGGTTCATTCCTGTAATCCTAGCTCCTCAGGAGGCTAAGATGTGAGGACTGAGGTTCAAAGCCAAATCAGGCTCTTATATCAAATTAACCAGTAAAAAGCTATAACTTGGTTGTATGGGCAAGTGGTAGAGCACAGCTGTGAGAAAATATAAAAGCCAACTGAGAGCTTGAAGGCCCTGAGTTCAAGACCCAGTTCTGGCACACACACACACATGCACGCACGCACGCACGCACACAAGGACTGCACTGCAACCTGACATTTTTCAGAACAATATCTGAGAAAAATGTCAGCAGCAGTGGATGCCTTGGGAGCTACAGAACAGTAAACAGAGTGGTGAAGGAATAAGATGACTCAGGTCTGTAACAATTCAAAGCACCCGGGGAAGGAGGGAAACAGAATGTTGGTGATTTTTTCTTTCTTTCTCCATAGCCCTGCTTTTTATTCTACTTTGTAATTTTCCAGTGTTTTGTTTCTTATATGTAATTTCCCTTTGCAAAATTAATGCATGCTAACAAAAAAGAAATTCCTTTATCATAACCCATATTATTGTCACTAAAATGAATTTTTAGATGTCAACCATTGGCTACAACATTTACATTTTTGAATAATGAACAAAATCAGAACAAAACCAACTACTTCTTATTTCTAGTGGCCTTACACAGACACCAAGATGTGACCTTGACCACACAGGACAGATGAAATTGAGTGCTCACTATCGCCTATATCCAATAATCCAAGACTAACTCTGGAAAATTACAGCAACAGGATTCACCAAAATGCCAGATATATTTCAGATTTCTCCTGAGGTTTGATGAAGTCACTTCCAGTTTTCTGCTTCTTTTTCTCACTCTCCCCACACTCAGCAAAGAAGAAAAATACTGCCTCCCTCACAGAGTCAATCTAGTTCGGGAAAATTCCAGCAAGATGAAAATATCATCAAGTGTTCATTCCTGACAATAAAACACTGCGAGAACTATCTATCAACCAGTGACTCACTTGTCAAAGGAATTTTTCTCTTTAAGAACTGAAGCTGCTTGTCTGTGTCACGGTTTGAGCCTCATTTCTGGTTTTTCTCACTGTAAAGTGGGATTCTCCCCCCAACACACACACATACTCACACACACACACACACACACACACACACATGCAAGATGGGACTTAGGTAATATCCTCCCTGATCTGCAGGGAGTTTGATACCTTCACACTTCAGTGTATGCAAAGTATGCAAAATTCTCAGCTCTTGTGCTCTGGGATGCAGGAGTGCAAATCTGTATCTCAGTCCCCACAGCAAATCAGTTGCTGAAAAGTACTAGCATGTTACACATACTTGCAGGTAATCATCATTTCCCTCAGGACTCACAGCTAGCCTAGGCAAAGCTGGTAACATTTGTGGGAATGATCAGAGAGGACCACCAGGCTTCAGTGGCTCACGCCTGTAATCCTAGCTACTCAGGAGGCTGAGATCTGAGAAGCACAGTTCAATGCCAGCCTGGGCAAAAAAGTCTGTGAAACTCATATCTCCAATTAATTACTAAAAAGCTGGAGGTGGAGCTGTGGTTCAAGCAGTAGAGTGCTAGTTGTGAGTGAGCAAAAAAGCTCAGAAACAATGCCCAGGCCCTGACTTTCAAGCCCAGGACCATTACAAAAATTAATTAATTAGTTAATTAATTAATTAACATAAAGGACCTTAAAGCCCAGGGTCTCACCTCTTAATGTTTTCATGTGTTGAACAGCCATCCTCAACACAGTCAGTTTATCTAATTTCCTGGACATTGCATTGCACGTTGGTACCAGAGAAGCCAACTCATCAATAAAACTGTTCATCTTATCCCGACGCCGCTTCTCAATCTGACTGTGAGCTTCTCTGAACGATATGAAAAATGACTTTTATGAAGTGTGAGCAACTACTAAGTAAAAAAAATGACAAAAATAAACAGTGAGTTGTAACTGTGTCCAATATTCATCTGACAGGACAAAGATAGAATCTGTAGATTTTTCTACTAAAGCCACTCCCCTAAAATGGTCACAATACCGCATGGGAATTAGTTGTTTGTACTTATAACATCCTTTGTGTTAAGAAAGAATTTTATGAAAACTGACTTTCCAGCTGGGCACTGGTGGCTCACACCTGTCCTGCTAGCTACTCAGAAAGATGGGATCTGAGGATCATGGTTCGAAGCCAGTCTGGGCAGGAAAGTCTGTAAGACCCTTATCTCCTCTACACTACCAAAAATAAAAAATAAAAAGCGAGAAATGGAGCTGTGGCTCAAGTGAGCCAAAGGAGCTCAGAAATAGTGCCCAGGCCCTGAGTTTAAGCCTGGGACTCACACAAATAAATAAACAAATAAATAAATGCATATCGCCTTTCCACAATAAACTGAATTGTTCATTTTTCTTCATTGCTTTTCTTCCCAGCCTCTACAAAACTGGATCTTGAGATGAGGGTGAAAGAAGAGAGAAGAGAGGTAGAGGTTTCATGTAGCCAAGCATCCAGTGCAGCCACAGTGAATACCCCACTCCCTTTGAGGTCTCTGAGAAGCTCACCATGTGTCTTGAGGAAGGCAACACTTCTTTCTAGCTGGAAATGCAATATCAGAAGTGTTGGGTATTAACCTTACTTGTGACCATCCTACTAAGAAGGAATATTAACAATGGAGACGTAGCTATGGAGCTCTGGAACCTTTTCCAAAGTTCACATGCAAAGTCTCAGGTCAGCCAGTTCTGAAGCTCACAAGTACTCATTGCCATGACAGAGCCTCAGATGTCCCTGGTACTAATGGCAGGGAGGCTGAGGACCCAATGGGCAGAGTCAGCAAGTATGGCTAAGGCAGGAAGGACCAGGTCAGAGGATCTCCTCAAAGAAGCAAGTATGCCCAGGTCTGGCCTTCAGAGGCCATCTGCTATATGGTAAGAGCCCCTGTTAGGCAAGGCACAGAGCATGAATGGAATCGCTGAGCTATGTCATCTGTGGAAGGACCTCTGCTAAAGAGTCAAGAAAGCCTACAGCCCTCACTGATTTTCTGCTACCTCCAAAGTCCCTTTTGGGTTAAATATGCTCAAATAGCAATAAGTGAAGGCCATTGGAGGGAGCAACAGACAGAAGTCTGCATCAGGCCCAGACCTACTATCTCCTTCCATGTTTCCTGAGGAAAAGATCTGACATATAGGGACCAAACATATGGAGATTTCTCCACTGCTCTCAAAAGAATCATCAAGGGTTTTAGAGGGGCCAAGCTTACCTTGCATTTTTTATCCTTCCTTGGTGTTCTGTGTATTCTAACCTAGGGAGGAAAATAGCAAAAGATAAAAATGCAATCCCCTGGAGATGATTGGCAGTTACACATTTTTGGGTTTTGTCCTACCTAATCCCTGTCACCTCTCCACAGACATAAGGGTCCTTGGTAGTTAGAATAATAGGGACTGAGGAAGGAAGGACACTCTTGAGCTCATAGGCTCGTGGCCTCCTTGCTTATCTCAAATCGAGACACGGGAGATCATACTCCAAGTGACAGAATGTATAATCGTGCAAAGAAAATAGTTATAAGGACACTGAAGTTCAAATGACTAGGTTCATGGTACCTGCCATGAGGGTCATCTTTGTCTGTGTCCATGCTTTCTCTGCAAAAACAAGAGAACGTGACTGCATGTTAATAAAGACATACAGCAGAGCTTCTTATTGTAACACAGAAGGCTCCCATTTATCCAGAAACCAAACAACTAGCGAGCTCAAGTAACCATAGTAGAGATTAATGATGGAGAATAGTAAAACAAACAAAAACAATTAGGTCAAGCCTACTATAAAAACCTGGACTGGCTTTGCACATTTAGTGAAATTTATAAGCAGTTTCGATTACAGTTTGCATCTCAAGTACATTATGCCATATTCTGATTGCTTGAAAATTGGTAATACTGTTTATAGAACCTCTTAGTTAACCACAGTATCCAAGCATCGTTCCTTATTCTGGATAAATGGAGCTTATTCCATTTGCAAGACGTTACAAGCATGGAAGCTATGAGTGCATGTATCTAGTGGGTGAGGGTTGAGGAGGGCTAATTAAAGCACCAACAAAGGACAGAGAAGAGCCCCAGGCAGCGTTTCCAAGGCACTGCCACCAAATGCTCTGCTTCTCAGAGGGGTGGGAGATGCTGTGCTCAAGGAATTGGGATAGAGAGGAGTATGAGGCTGAGGGCCACAGAGTCCTGAGGCCACAGCAGAGATCTACTTCCCTTTCACAAACTCTAGAACTTCAAGTTTCATGAAGTCAATACAAAGCGACTGAAATTCCCAGAGTAAAAGGTTCCAAACTCTCCTTGGGGTCAGCTCACACTCTTCTCCAACCCATATTAATCAGCAGGGCACTAACTGCAGCTGGGCTTCCCTTTGTTCCCCTTTATCCTACAAGAAAGGAGGACTTGGCCCTCAGATGATATACACAGTTCCCAGGGGTGTAGGATCACATCAAGGGCCCTCTAAGAACAGTGGCCCTCACCAAGACATCCTGGGGTCCTTATAGGCTTTTTCTCCAGCTAAGCCCAGGGCTGAGGGGAGATCATACAGCCACCTGGGCAAATGCCTCCCCCACTTCAGCTACTGAGGTCAAGCTGATTCCCTCAGGTGAGGAGAAACACATGGCTAATCAAATCTCTACAAATTATAAAAGGTTCGCAAACAGGGGAAATGTGCAGGGCATTATGTGATGACAAGGTTGGAAACCACAGGAATAGATGACAGAAGTCTTAGAACACATCAGTGGCCCTGGCAGCATTTGCCTAAGAAAAAGGGCTCATGAGAAAAAAAACGTTCTGGTCTCTGTTGAGGAGTTTGTGCTACAGAAGAAACCCCTTGGTCCTCACACCCATTCTCCATCCCCTGGGTATTGGCTCTCTCAATTATCTGGGATAACTTACATATTAATCATAGCATCTCCTACTGGGCATCTGACCTCCAGCCATTGTGCTCCCCAAATTCGACCTGTGAACTTCAGCAGAAAGGACATCTGCTGTAGGGGGGATACCTCCTTGGAGATTTTCCCTCATTAAACAAAAGAAAACCTCTTAAATGGACATTTGGGTAAAATCCCACACAGTTGCCTCAGCAAAACAAGTGTGCCTTGGAATGTTCTACACTGCCTTCCTCCCTAGGAGATACGCAGAGGCTGAAGAGCGGAGGGTGAGTGGGAAAATTTACTTACTCAAAAGAAAAGTCATCAAGTCTAAAAAGAAACAGAAATACTATTTAACATAACAGGTACATACTGCTTTACATAATGTTTAAGGACAATGTCAGGATTCCTATGCTGTTTGCTGAGAGCCCCTCCATTTACCCATTCCACACATATTAATAAGTACTGACCCTTGTGAACTCCTCAGAGAGGCCTCAAGTGAGCTCTTGAAGCAATCCCTAAGATTACATCCACAGACTCAGTCCTCCTGCTCAGAGGAGGCAGGGGGCAATAGGAAGAACTTGGCTCTCAGACTATTCTTTCTTCCCTGACATGGAATCATCTGGGTTCAGAAGGGGACTTAAAGGCCTGAGCAATGCTGCAGGCTCCTTTTCTTACTTACAATCCAGGGGCAGATAAAATCAACCCCAAATGGGCAGCACCTACAATGGGACCTGTGCCTCCCAGCTATTCTTCCAGAAGACAGTGACTGGCTCTGGGTGCTCCATGCCCATCCACTGAGTTCAATGCCAGGCAGACAAGCTGGAAAATCTTACTGGTAGTCGGTGGCACTGCCTTTCCGCTTGCGATTGCAATCCACACTGCTGGTGCCCAGAGAACCGGAGAGCAGGTCGGCAGAGCCCGGGGACATAAAGTCACTGATCGTTGAAGAAATGTCCATTCTCTGGTCCGCCATTGGAAGTTCTGAAAGGTTACAAGGGGGAATTTGTTTCAGTGTGCTCTTCCACAGTGATAATGAGTCTGAGTGACACTGAGGAACACAGGGACTTGTTTCCAGCACTAACATTTTTCACATGGCCATCCTGGAAAAGGCACATGGCTGAATGGGGAGAGCATCATTCTAAGCTTTTACGTTTTTAGAGGGAAAGGATGCAACATGGTAAATTAGAGGCATTCATCATTTTGACACAGGGAATAAAAAAAGTCATATTAACCCAGGAGAGACTATATTCTGAAGACAGAGAGGAGTATCAGGAATCACAGGAGAGGTTCAGGACAGAAGAAAAGCACAAAGAAACAAAGTCAGCAGAGAAACTAGATGGACCACTGTGATAGACCGGCAATTCTAGCTGCTTATATTTTCCATAAACCTTAATCTCAGTACAAGAATTTGGTGAGTCCTTGAGCGCATATGGAAGGTTAGCCCCAGTAAAGAAAATATTTTGTCACACTCTCCTGGTCTCTGAGAGCTATAGCAAGATGCCATGTTGAGAGGGGAAACTGTTAAGACTGAGATACTCTGGAGGAGCAAAAGTAAGGGACAGCAAGGCTCAGGAGGTGTTGGGACACGTTGCAACAGGGTCTGAGTGGAAGAAGGCCAAAAGAGATGTTAGTAGAAAAGAAGCAAGTCTGATGTGGTCACGCAGAGAACTTCAAGCAATGGGGAAATCTATTGGCATGACCATCAAAATAGCACCAGACTTCTCAACAAAACTTTAAAAGTGAGCAGAGCATGAAATAAGGATTTCAAGTTGTGAAAAGAATACCTGCCAACCTAGATGGTTATACCGGACAAAGCTATTCTTCATAATTGATGAAGAAATAAAAACCTTCCATGAAAAACAAAAACCAAAGCAATTTACAGTCACTATACCAGTGCTACAAAAGATCCTTGAACAAATCCTACAAGCATCACAAATCAATATAAAGGGGATCAATGTGAAATATACGATACATACACAAATATGCAAAGAATGAAACAAAAATTTGATTTTTCAAAAAGCTAAATAAATAGGCAAACTCTTAGGCAAATTAATCTAAAGAAAGAGGGAGAAAGAATCAAGTAAATAAAGTTAGGAATGCGAAAGGGGAATCTTTCTCTCTCTCTCTCTCTCTCTCTCTCTCACACACACACACACACAGACATACACACAAATGAAATCCAGAGGATCATTAAGATATATTTCCTAAAAGTCATATGGCAACACCTGATCAATCAATCATTCCTGAGCAAAAAGAGAATGCTGGGTATATATCGCATTGTCTGGCTTCAAATTATACTACAGAGCCATGGTAACAAAAAAAAAGCAAGAAGCTGGCATAAAAACAGATACTTAAACCAATGGAATGGTACAGAAGATCCAGTCTTAAGCCCACACAGTCACAGCTACAGATATAGCCAATTAATTTTCAACAAAGGAGCCAAAAACATATGTTGGGAAAAATAGAGTCTGTTCAACAAATGGTGTTTGGAAAACTGGGTATCCACATGTAAAAGACTGAAACTAGACCTTTATCTCTCACTCTGTATGAAAATTAATTAAAATGGATCAAAGATCTAAATATAAGACATGAAACTTTGAAGGTATTAGAGGAAAACAGAAAAAAAATCCTTAAAGATATAGGTACATGTGTATCACCTTTCTTCAGTTTATAAGAAATCCTTATCTACTGTTGGTAGGAATGTACATTAGCACGACCACTATGGAAAGCAGTATGGAGGTTCCCCCAAAAAGTAGAACCAGATCTACCATATGATCCTGCTATACACTCTGAGGTATATATCCAAAAGAATGTAAGAGACACCTGTACACCATGTTTTATAGCAGAACAATTTACAATAGCCAAACTGTGGAATCAGGCTATGTGTCCTTCATCTGATGAATATATAAGAAATGTGTATATATTTGTCTATATTTATATATATTTGATTGTATGTATATTTATATCCTTACATGTGTATATACACACAAGGAGTACTATTCAACCAAAAAGAAGAAGGAAATTATGTTGTTTGAGGAAAAAATATATGGACTTGTAAATCATGTTAAATAAGCCAGAATGATAAAGACAACTATTTCATGTTCTCTGTCTCATATGTGGAATCTAGACTTAAGAATACAAAAGAATGATACAGTGTAACACTGGGAGACTCTGGTGCAGTAGAAAGAAATTAGTTGGAACAGAGAGAGTGGAAGGAGAGTGATTGCTGAGGTGAGTATTATCAATGTATGTCATATGCATGTATAAAAACAGATAATGAAACCCCCATTCAAAATAGTTCAAAATGGGCTGGAGGTATGACTCAAGTGCTGGAGCTCTTGTCTAGCCAATGCAAGATGTTGAGTTCAAACCCTAGTATCACCAACAAACTAAAATGTTTAAAAAACAGGAAAAGAGGCTACTAAAGAGTGAAAAATGGGGTGAATCTAATCATATATATGTATGTATGGAAATAAAACACTTTTGTATAGTGATATATGCTAAATCTAAAAAAAAAAGATTGTAAGGTAACTTTATAGGTAATGTCACAAAAGCCCAGAGAAGTTGAGTTGTTTCTAGGTTCCATTGTGGTATGATGAAGAATTAAATTAATGCCAGGCCCCAGTGGTTCACACCTGTTACTCTAGGAGCTCAGGATGCTTAGACCTAGAGGATCATGGCTTGAAGCCAGCCCTGAGCAGAAAAGTCTGAGAGTCTATCTGCAATTAACCTATAAAATGAAGGTTATATAGAAGCATGGTTCAAGTGGTAGAGCAGGTTATATAGAGGCATGGCTCAAGTGGTAGAGCACCTGTATGAACAATCAAACTGAACAAGGGTGTAAGGCCCTGAGTTCAAGCCCCAGGACTGACAAACTAAACCAAAACCAGGCTTCGAGGCAACCCAGCATTTCATAGGTTCTCAGACACTCCTCATTTTCTTTCTTTCTAACCAATAAACATTTGATTATTGAAATGAATAAACATGATTTATGTGTTGTCTTTAAACTTTTATAGCCACCATCTCCTAGCATAATGATAAACAAATTTGTAGACATTTTAAGGATTCATATTTTACAAGCACAAAGTAAGCTGGCCCCAAAGAGAGGACAACAAATACCTTGCAAGGGACTCCAACTCCAAACTCAGTTGAAGAGGATGTGCCCTGTGGGCAGCCAAGGGCTGTGAGCTCCAGGGGATGTGCCTGGAGCTGTCACTCCCTCCCTCTGGGCCCAAATTCCCTCATCTGCAAAACAAGAGAGTGAGCATAAGAACTGTTTTCCACCATTCTGCCCTGTACCTCATTCAGGTGGGTACCAATGCCTTACCTTTACAAGCACTGTGGGAATGCACATCTTTGTACATAGCTATCTGGGCATGAACTATGATCTCTTAGAATACATGTCTAAAAGTAGGGCTGATGGACCAAAAAGGGACCCATGTTGTACATTTTAAAGCACCTTGAAATACATATGTCTGGATAACACTTACAACGCCTATCTCCAAAGAGCTTCTGCCATTATATTGTGTTTAACTGAACTTATAAATGATTACTGATAGCACTTCCACATTTATTTCTCAAAAGCTGAGGATGATAGAGTCTTACCTAACATATGCAAGGTCCTGGGCTCAATCTCCAACACTACATATACATGCATGTGCACCCCCCCCCCACATACACACACGGAATTAGAAAATATAGGCAGTTCTCTGAATTCTCTTGCATCACTGATGTGCCCTGTCTATCACATGTCCTCCTACCATGTGTCATTTTTGCCCCCAGACATGGCAGAAGAAAATGCAGTACTGCCAGCTGCCGTTCACTCCCCTGGCCACTTCCAGCATCTCCCTGGTCCTCATTCTTAACCAATACTTTGCTGCTGTTTATTTGGGGTGGGTGGGTGATTGAATCTAGGCATATCCATGCTATAGAAATGGTCTATCAACCTCTAGGCTATACCCCTCAGCCCTTAGTACCTTTGCTTCTGATTTAACTAGAAATAGAGGCCACCAACCATAACCGCCAGCCCATCTGGATGCTCCTGTCTGAGACATGCCACTCCCTAACTCCTGCTTAGACTCGACTTCTCTTGTCAACTCAAGATGTCATTCCAGAGTCCCCGCCCCTGCCCAATTCTGCCTCAACTCCTCTCCTCACACTACTGGATTAAGCCCATGGGAGAAAAAACATAAGTCATAAATTCCCATCTTAGGAAAAATGAACTTGTTGGAATACTATCTCCTCTGGTCCCATTTTTTAATGCCTTCCGTCCTTTTTCTTTTAAGAAAACCTAACTCAGGGTTTTGTTTCCATCTTTAGTATATCACTCAGGCCCTACGCTAGGCCTCCTCTTATTTTTTCCCTATAGACCTTATCCAAATCTTGTCTACAATATCTTTCTTTGTTTACGGGCTCTTCTCTCCATGATGGAGTAAACAACAGAACAATGAGGCAGTGGGGCAGTGGGGACAGTAGGGATTCTGATTCATTTGTTGCTTGGACTTACTGCCCAGAGTACTCCAGGTACAGAGCATGTGTTTAATCAGTAGACATATAAATAAATTTGCATGCTGGAAATATTCTTTGTTCATTATGGATGTTGTAAAGACTCTTTCCTTTAACTTTACAGTATTTTTAGGAAGTGTTAAAAGTGACAGGTTTTAAAAAATATTTTCTTCCCAAACACAGTACAAACGCTCCCCCCTTTATACCAATATTTATTCAGCCAGTACTATGGCTTTAAGCTCAGAGCCGTAGCTGACCCTACAAGCTTCCCATTCACCATTTTTGCTGCTTAATTGGAGATGGAGTCTTGTGGACTTTTCTCCTGAACTACTGTGATCCTCAGATTTCAATCTCCTGAATAGGTAGGAGTATAGGTATATGCCACTGGCACTGAGTATATTGTATTTTATATTGTATTTTACTTATTTTTTTTTGCTGGTCCTGGGGCTTGAAATCTGGGCATGGGTACTATCCTTAAGTTTTTTGTACTCCATGCTAGTGCTCTACCACTTAAAGCACAGTTCCACTTCTGGCTTTTTGATAGTTTATTGAAGATAAGGGTTTCATGGACTTTTCATGGCTGGGGTGACTTTGAACCATGATCCTCAATCTCAGTATCCTGAGTAGCTAGGACTGCAGAAGTGAACTACTAGCACCTGGCTCTAATTTTGTTTCTTATCTACTAGTTTATTGCATTTGGAAATTGGTATACTACCAAAGATTAGCAATCTATTATTTCCTTTCAATAGATACACTATTGTCTCAACACCATTTATTAGCCATATATCTTGCTATCAATAATTTCAAATAAAATTTCAATTGATTTCTTGTCTATGTGTAGTCTTTCTACTTTGTTACTCTTTTCTTATTTTTTTTTATGGTTTTAGGGCTTGAACATAGGCGTGGGTGTTATCCCTGAGGTCTTTTTGCTCAAGGCTAGTGCTCTACCATTTGCAGCCACAGTTTTTGAGTGGTTAATTAGAGATAAGAGTCTCACAGGGACTTTTCTGCCCCAGCTGGGTTTGAATCAAATCCTCAGATCTTCGTCTCCAGAGTAGTTAGGATTACAGGCATAAGCCACCAGCAATTGGCCCTTCTGTTCCTCTTAACTAGTTAATTCTATTTTAGTACTACTCTGGTTTTTATGCATGTGGTTTTAGAATTCATTTTAGCAAAACAAATTATTTTCCTCTTATTAGTCTTCATTTTCTCAGAAAATTCCTGGTTATTTTCTCTGATTTGTCCTTCAGGAAACATTTCATAATAACTCCATGGGTGACTACTATTTAACAACAGTAGTTTGCTTTGGAGAAGCAAGACCAGGTTTGAGCAGAGACTACTACCTTCCAGGCCATAGAAGCTTACACAGCCTTGTTCCCCTGAAGCCATGGGCCATATGTGGGGGACCATCAAAACCATCCTTTGTTGTCGTTGTTGGTGGTGGTGGTGGTTGTGGGGTTTGAACTCTGGGCCTGGGCACTGTCCCTCAGCTCTTCAGCTCAAGGCTAGAACTCTACCAGCTGAGCCACAGCGCCACTTCTGGTTTTCTGGTGGCTTATTGGAGATAAGAGTCTCAAGGAGTTTCCTGCCTGGGCTGGCTTTGAACCGTGACCCTCAGATCTCAGCTTCCTGAGTAGCGAGGATTACAGGCGTGAGCCACCAGCACCTGGCAAAACCATCCATTTTTGAGCCACCAAACAACAGCAACCTACCAATATTCATCAAGAGCTAGGGGTAGAGGGACTTATTTACTACCTGAAGTTGTAGTTCTTAAACCTCAGATCCTTGCGTGAGAGGAGCAATGGACTGATGGATTTGTTGGTCACCTCAAGGCAATTTTCATGTTTTATAATTTCCTTCCAGGCAGTCAACTTCTTCTAAAAACCTACAGTGGGAACCAACAGGGGGAGAAAAAAAACATACAAGTCACTTTGGGAGCAAATGAATCTGAAAAGCTCTTGTGAGCTAAAAGGGAATGGGGAGCTATGTCCTAATACCCAGTTTCCATTAGTCCTACTGGGAAGCCGTCACACCCACTGGCCCGAGCTACTGTTGGCCATCCTTCAACCCCTGCCCCCCCCACCTCCCCATAACACCTAAGCTGAAAATACATGAATCAATCTTGCAGGAGGCATTTCTTAGAAGAATAATGTTTTCTAAGTATGAAACTGCATGGGTTCTTGTGTCTCCCTGCTCAACCTCGAGCCCAACACAGCCAGGACCCCGGTTCCAGATGTTTCCAGCACCAGCCCATGCCATACTCACTCCAATGATGTTACTCAGGGAACACATGACCCAGGTCCCTTCTCCTTCCCCTATGTCCCTGATACTTAAAAGAAGGTTCTACTACATTTCTAGACTCAGAGTCCCCATGAGATGTCTTTATTTGGATCCATTTTTTCCTCCCAGAATCAAATTTACTTTACAAACGTTATACCATTAAATGCTATTGGAGGTTGTGGCACCGTCTGTGGATAAGAAAACCCATGAGGCATTTCTTACTTGCTTAGTAGGCAAGGTAAGGAACCTGTGCCTCAGTGACATCTGACATTATTGTTGGACAATGCTTTTCTAAGATGTTCTTAGATATAAAAACAATAACTAAAACAAACAATCACAATAGCTCTTTCTCTACTATTCCAAAAGGGATTTGTGCCCCCAAGAAATTGCAGGTGCCTAGGAGAAGAGCCCTGGCTGGCACCGCCACTAAAATAACACCACAGTGAGGAAACTCAGGTGCTCCTCTGAGCAGGGCAGGGAGAAGCTGAACACCAGCCCTTAAGAAACCCACCACTACAGGAAGACAGCCACACCCAAGACCTCAGCCCAGATCAGGCAGCTCTCTTCCCTGGCTCTGCTCCTGCAGAGTGGAAGGCCATGAGTAGAGAAAAGGAGGAGGAGCAGGGCAGGCTGTCTTCATGTTCCAAATACTAGCTACCCCTCCTGGTGGGAAGACTGTACTGCACCTTCATGTCAGAACCGGCCTTGAGACTCACCCTGCCCAACCAATGTGAGCAGCCACAACCTTCACACAGAACCCTTTGTACTGGTTCTCTGTTTGAATCTGAGGCCAACCATTTCCTGGGGGCAGAAGCCCCTCCTCTAGCCAAGACCCTGGACAAACAGTAACATCAGGAAGAAATATACCTTTGATACTGTTGGCCACCAAGGTGTGGAGGTTGCTTACTATGGTGATGGCTATGGCTTGAACGTGTCCCCAAAGCTCATAGGTTAGAAACTTACTCTCTCTTGAAACAGTGTGGGGAGGTGAGGCCTAATGGACAATGATGAAGACAAGGGCTTTTTCCTCATGAGTGGATTAATGTCATTATTGCAGGAGTGGGTTAGTTATCACAACAGAGCTACGCAGCCAGAAGCTAATGACTCACACCTATAATGCTGGCTTACTAGAGAGGCTGAGATCTAAGGATCATGGTTCAAAGCCAGCCCACGCAGGAAAGTCTGTGTGACTCTTACCTCCAATTAATCACCAAAAGGCTGGAAATGGAGTGTGGTTCCAGAATGCCAGCCTTGAGCAAAAATCACTAAGAGACAATGTTCAGGCTCTGAGTTCAAGTCCCAGTCCCAGCACATGAAAACACAAGTGAATTTGTCTCCTCTCAGACTTTCCTGCCCTTTGATTTCCAAGATGAGATGAACAACACAGTACAAAGTTCCTCACCACCAAATGCCAGAACCTTGATATTAAATTCCCAACCTCTAAATTGTAAGAAATGAATTTCTTTAAAAAAAAGAAACCAACAACAAGTAAAGTAGCCAACCTGTAGTGTTCTGTCATGCACAAATGGAAAAAGGTGGTGGTAACCAACTGGTCTATTGGTCCCAGACCTTCCCATTTCAGTAATGAAAGTCCTGCACCCAGGAAACCCTTCTGTCTCAGAAAACCTGGATGAGTCAACCACCCAGATATTCCTGCTGTATGACTCATCATGAGGTAGTTGACATGGTAGACAGAAGGAAATAAATCCTGGAGCCACAGATTGAGCTAGATCAGAGAGGCCAGCAAAAGTTCAGTTCTCATAAGAAAAACCAATACCTTCACTGTGGTCATTGCCTCAACTCTCCAGGTGAGGAATTTAAGTCTTGAGAGGCAAAATTACCTTGCTTTAAATAGCTCAGTCAGGAAGTGAAGATTGAAACCCAGGAGTGTGCCTTCCCGGCTGATGCTTCCAACTAGTGCACTACTGCCTATCCTACCTCAAGAAAACATGCCCAAGAATACAATACAAAGACCAAAGCAAGCATTGCTAGGAAAGGCATGAGGAGAAAAGTATAGGAAATCCTCACTGGAAGCTGTGGAAACTGTGTAAACGTTCTCTCTGAACTTGCTGGCAGCCAGGGCAAAGAGGGAAAAAGCAACTCTCATTGTGTGAGACCAGGAAGTTTGAGGAGGCTCATGGGGCTGACAGAGCAAGGAGAGGCATTTGTGGAGAGGTCCTCTCCATAGGGCTTGAGTACAGCTGTGCTGAATGGTTCTGGGGAAAAAAAGAATAAAAGATTCTCTTATAAGATCTCAGTATTAGGAAGAGAAGAAGTGAGAATAATGGGGAGGGGGGTAGAGACTGACTGGGATATGTCACAATGAAATTCTCCCTTGTGCATTGCATTCATAAGCTGCTTTGTTGAATGATAACCCCTTTGTAGAATTACTCAGAGGTAATATTTAAAAAGAAAAATTCTCCCTTATATAGCTAATGTATGCAGATTTTAAAAAATCGGGACCCCAGTGATAGCTCAACTTTCCTCTTACCCTTGAGTGTCACCCACGTGTGACAGCTCAATAGGGTTCTGCTAAGACATTTTGTGAAGATGCAGGATGAAATTCTGGCAGCAGCTTTTCATGAAGGAGCTTAATAACAGGGTATGCTTAAGAAAACAGGGACAAGAATCAACCATCTTGATGGCCAAGTCTAGTGGCTGCATGTTCATTGAACTACAGTTCCATAAAACCCAAACTCCCCCCGGAGGGACACTTGTGTCCACAATCAAGGAGTAGCGGGCCCTGGGTTCAGGAAGAACTGCTTTCCTTCCTCTGCCCAGGGAGGCAGCCCGGGGTCCCTTGCCCCATTCTCTAATGTTGTGTTGGTCTTATCCATTCCAATGGTGGTGGCCTATAAGCAAAAGCAAGATGCTGATGGGGCCCTTTACCCTCCCTGTATTCCTGTTGGATACTCCAACAGTCTGTTGTTGTACAACAAATGGATTTAGAGAAACTTCACCAAGTGGAGCCAGATTATTGAAGGTAACTGGTATTCACAGCAAGATCGGTCAATGAGCCTTTCTGTACTCTCTAGCAGAAGCCAGGGCAGTGGAAACACAGGGAGAAAGCTGAAGTCTTTGCATACAAGACACCATTGACATAGTTGGAGAAGTGAGTATTTGAATAAATAGATGATGCATTGCCAAGGCAACAGGCAAGGCCAGACTGGCAGCTGTGTGAGCCAAACTCCTGGAGGTGCTGGTGCCTTTGGGTGTCATTGTGAAAATTTTCCAGCAGGTGGCAGTCAAGTGCCTTGAGAAAGGAATGTGGTGGGTTTTTTTTTTTTTGTTTTGTTTTGTTTTTTGTTTTTTTCCCCTAGCTGTGCAGCATGGATAAGACACAAGGAGGGAAAAATAATGAGCATAGTGCCTGGGTGATGGGGAGGACCAGGAAGAGGTAAGTCCCTAATCAGGAATTATGGTTTACTTGGACACACGGTCCACCAGGTTGTCAGGGCTGAGGGATAGCCACGTTTGTGGCACTTCTATTCACAGTCCTATGGTATTCTGCCCTACGTGAGCTAAAATGAGTGTAGATGAGAAACTGCATTTGGAGCTAAGGGGCTGGCTGGCTGGCTGAGAACTTACAAAGAAGCAGGACGTGTGGAGTGGGGCACTCTGTAAATCAGACCAAGGCTAGTCTTGTAGACAAGCCCTCCAATGTGGTAGATGGAAGACAGTCTCAAGAATTCCAGTCTCAGACAGCACTGAGGCTTGGTAGGGTGAATCAGAGGTCTAATGAAGAGTCACAGAACAGCTCCCCAAAGCCATGCAGCAAAAGCACTCAGGAAATACTTGCGAAGAGAGTCATAAAGGGATGTCTGTTTGTCTTTGCCACATTCTCTCTGAGATATAGCATAAGGACAATTTACAATCCCACTAGTACTGGGGGGGGGTGGTTGTACAGACTACTGATGGTATGGTATGGGGATGTAGACTGAATGCAATTGACAACGAAACAGCTACCCAAACTGAAGTGGAGGGAACAAGGCAGAGTGAACGGCACAGTCATGATGGAAGGAGCTGATTGGATAAGCAAGCTAGGGACACGATTCTTTTATCAGGTGCAAGGAAAAAGGATTGCGGAGTGGCTTGAAGTCTCAGGAACTCTACTCCCTCTTAAAATCCCATCAACCATCTCAAAAGAACACTGGAACTACTTAGTGACTCTAAAATTGTGGATAAGAGCATGCTCTCTGATGGGAGATGGTGGTAGGTTTCAAATCCTGACTCCATGTAGGCATTCAAGCCTTAGGTCCAACAAATATGAGTGTTGTGACATTGGCCACAGTACCTAGTCTCTGTGTGTCTTGGTGCATACGATAAGGATGGTAACATTTCCAGCTCTGAGTGGTCATGGACTTAAAGGAGACATATAACGTGCTAAGAATGAGGCCCGGCACATGTGAACTATGGTCACTATCATTACTTCTTTCCTCAGTAACCACCAAAAAAAGCCTTATAATAGTGGCTAATGTCATTTTGCCCATTTTACAGGTGAGGAAATTTAAGTCTGCCAGGGTAAATAACTTGACCAAGGCCAATGATTTTATAGACTTAAAATCAGGTCAGTTCTAATTAAAACTCCTAATCTTCCCACCATTT